TTAGCAGAGTTCTCTAAAATAAAGGAAGCGGCTTTTATAAACCGTGTGTCTCTGGAACATGTCACGCAGATGAAAGTGCTGAAGATACACAGGTAGCAGAGCAGACTTCTGCTGATGGGGTTTAATCGTGGCTGCTGACAGAATTAGGTCAGCAGAGCAGATTACAAATAATTCAAGCTTTTAGCCTTGGTTTTCTTTCCAATATTATTGCTGGAATCAAAGACACTGCTGCATAGGAAATCTGTTAAAAGAACACCACTGATGATCTGATGCTAGCAACTAGAAGCTCCAGTGAAGTGATGTGCAAGTTCAGCTAGCAACTTGGTTTGAAATTTTTAAGTTGATGGAGTATCAGCAATTATGTTTCATTTAGAACAGAGTTGTGGAAAAGCTGTGGAGAGAGCCTGCGGGAACCAGGTTTGGCACTCCCCACTGTGCTTCCCTTTCCCCACTGTTTGTTCGGGCTCCCTCCACCATCACCGGCAGAGGCGAGGGTCCCTCTGCCTGCTGACTCGCTGCTCCCACCTGCAGGGAGGGCTTCAGGAGCACCAGGTGGGCTCTGCACGCACGCACCGTTGGACCCCGCTGCGAGGAAAGGGACATGGGCAGGAAGGGGTGTTGGTGCTGGATGGCTGAGCTGCCTGCGTTATGTACGCTGCTGCTGCTGAGGTGCCAGCCAGCCCCGCCCGGCGTACAGCTCTCACTGCTGACAAGAGGGACTCGGGTCACGGTTTGGGACACGGGCCCACCAAACTGGGGTGGCTCTGCCATTGCCCCCTGGATGGCGTTCTTCCTGCACTGCTCCTTCTCTCAGGGGAAAACACTGCCTTAATATGGGCCCGTCTGTACAAGCCTGTGTCACAGTGCTAAGCACCGCCCAAGCCTGCCAGATACGTTAACAAGCCCCTGTATTAGTGTGCCTGCAGTTGTCTAACACAGAAGAAATGCTTCAACGTGGATCACAGAGGCTGACCTGTAGCTGTTCCTCGTATAGCCCCTGATACCAAAAAGAATGGACTTTTACATCGTCCTCCTCTTGACTGCCTTGGGAAAAATGTGTTGCATCCAGCCTGTGAGTTGGAAACGTTAAAAAATTATTTTGTTGTTGTTGCTACATGTTCTCTGAGGAAGAGAGAGTTAATTTACAGAAAGGATTACCGTAACACACTGCATGGCTACATGCTCTCCAGTCCCGTGGGATGTCAAGGTCGGTGCTGCTTCGCTGCCTGTGCCTCACCAAGGAGAAGCTGAGGTGTTAATCTCCTAGGGAGCACGTCTTCTAATACATCTTGGTGAATGGCCACACAATGTTTTAAATAGTTCACAAACAGTTTAATCCTAAGCACCAAATCCTACCCGAGCAGGATTCTCACGCAAGGTGTGGGGAGGAGAGAGGGAGGAAGGAGTCAGGCAGAAAGGGGGCAGCAGTGCCAGGAGTATAATCAGTTTTGAGGGTGAAATTGAAGTCAGGATGAAGGAAAATGGGGGACAGTAGCTATTAAGCTACAGGCCCAAATCTTGCAAGCAGGTAGTTATCATCAAAAGAAGTGTGAATAAATGATTGCAGAAGCAAGTGTGGGCATTCAGAGCATCACAAAAGAACAAGATTAATGCATTTTTAATTCACTAAGGCAACATTAAAAAGCAGAATGAAACTCACATAAGTAGTGTGAAATATAGCCAGAATTTTTGAAGAGAGACACTTCTAAACAACACTTAAACCCAAGCTATATCCTTACTACCACCAAATTCCTGTAATTTCCCTTTTGTTTTTGTTTTAATGCATCCATGAATGCACAGGCTTCCAGCTGTTCGCTACCTTAGCGGTTGTGCCCAAGTTCAGTCCCCCAAAAGCTCCCAAGTCCTCAAAGTTCAGCTCTGAACAGTGACTCCTGCTCTTCCTGCTGTCTCCCAGTGCCAAACTGTAGAAGTTGATAAGCAACAGTTTTTGCAACACGCAAATAAACCTCCTTTTTCACACTTCTGACAGAGGTAGGATGGCTTGGCAATATTTTTCCTCTTACAGAGCATGGCTGCCAATTCTACAAAAAAAAAAAAGGTAGTCGGAAATAGTTTAGTTTAGTCAGTGGTTTTACACAATGTGTTGGCTTTGACAGAGCCTACTAAGGCAATTTTTACTGCTGGTCCACAGCTGACTACCGCTCACATGTATCTCCTGGGGGGTGTCGTGGTTTAACGCCAGCCGGCAGTTAAAACCATGCAGCTGCTTGCTCACCTCCTCCAGTGGGATGGGGGAGAATCAGAGGAGTAACAGTGAGGAAAAAACTCGTGGGTTGAGATAAAGACAGTTATAGACAATAGGTAAAGCAAAAGCCACGCGCACAAGCAAAGCAGATCAAGGAATTCATTCCCTGCTTCGCATGGGCAGGCAGGTGTTCAGCCATCTCCAGGGAAGCAGGGTTCCATCATGCATAATGGTGACTTGGGAAGACAAACACTATCACTCCAAATGTCCCCCCCTTCCTTCTTCTTCCCCCAGCTTTATATACTGAGCATAACAACACATTGTATGGTATATCCCTTTGGTCAGGTGGGGTCAGCTGTCCCGGCTGTGTCCCCTCCCAGCCTCTTGTGCCCCCCCCCCCAGCCTGCTCACTGGCAGGGCGGGGGGAGGAGCAGAAAAGGTCTTGAGAGCTTAGAAACAACCCAAAACACTAGTGCGCTATCTGCTATTCCCATCCCAGATCCAAAACACGGCGTTACACCAGCCGCCTGCAAAAACGAGTTAACTGTAGCCCAGCTGAAACCAAGACAGAGGCTACTCGGTAAACCGGGTCAGCAAAATGATCTGGATTAAGACAACTTCCTTCACACCAGAAGGGTTTATCTGTAAAGTCAGTCAACTTCACTGGTGTTACTGAACGGGCAGTGGTATTAACAACATGCAGGAGTAACTGCTGGAGGCTTCTGCATAACTGAAGTGCAGTTAACATGTCTGCTTGCTTCAGCCAAACCCGTGGATGCCCTCAAGTCCAGATAGACTACCGAGAAGCTACAATCACCAGCTGCTAGAACATTTTCCCCCCAAATAGTCCATGCCTCCATCATATTTGGAATTACCTGGTTTTCACTTAATTCTGGTCCCCTCTTATCCAGGAGACAAACTGGAATCTCTTGTGCACATTTTGCAGGAGGGAAAGCATAAGTAGACTGCGGAGTCCTGCATTATGACCCCATGTACAGCCCCCCCTTACCAACGATCAGAGGAGTTTCTGCTAGGTCATGCAGAAACACAGGGGCATAAGGAACATAAAGAACTTTACAGCAAAGAATTGAGTTTGATTTTTGTTTCTTATTTGACATAATGTAAGGTGGTTTCTGGACAACTGTAGATCTTTGTACAGGCTAAAGCCCTAAACTTCACCCTTAGTAAGATTCAGCAGTCAGATGTTAGAAGATCCAGAATTTAGTGTGATTTCATTTGGAGCTTTTGATTTTACCTTTTAGATTAAAGCAATCTGAACATTAAGGACTTCTGCTGGGCCTCCTCTTCTTCCACCTCTAGTCTTATTGTAGAGGTTTCCCCCCAAAACGCGTGGCTTTTAGCCCAGCACTGCAGACCATGGGGCCGTTTGGGAAGATGCTGCTGTTCAAGTGGTGTCTGCATGAGTATGCCATTTGCAGTGTTCCCCCGCATATACAGAGGGTCAGTCTCTTAGGAAGGTTGGATTGCATTTAGGTTGTTACTGCTTCTATATCTAAACAGAAATCAGAAGTAATGTTGCATTAATCTATAATGCTGCCAGAATTAAAAAAAATATATAAATATTCTTTATGTGAAGAAAGCTCAGAGCTTCTTCCTAAAGACCATTCCCACAGCAGAAATCGGAGCTTGTGCAGATGCCCGTGCTTGCCTAATTGATGTCAAAAGAACAAAGTTAAAAGTTTATGAAGAAGTTTTGGCTGGGACACAGTTGAGACATCACAGAAAATACCTCACCTGAACAGGATGTGAAACAAAGCAATGTGTCTTATGTGTTCTTTTGCAGTTGCTGACTTAGACATAAGATAACAAAAAATGTAACTGCCAGATGAAAATCGAACCAAGAGCATATCCCAAACTAACCTTGGGTAATTGCAATGCTAAAATACACACCCCTTTGTGAAGAATGAGCGTGCTAATCAGGTAACCTCCCTAAATGTTTTACACATGAACTTAGATGCATATGTATAGTTTGGAGCAGTGAATGAATCACCGTTAATAAAACCAACCAGCTGTATTTTATCATTATAAATATTGGGCGGTTGGAAAGGAGAGGTGTGCTGGCTGTTGTTAAACACCCGGCACCCAATTCTGCAGCACTGAAATAAAGACAAATATCTCGACCCGGTGTGTTGACAGGCTCTCACACCCTGGATGAAGAACCCTCATTTAGGGACAACAAAATCATATCTCCAGATGTATATGGGGAAAACAGTATGCTAATTACATGCAACAGCTTCCAGTTGCAGCGAGTGCAGCGCAAAGGGAAAGGCGGCAGCTCTCAATCTCTTCGGCCCACCCTCATTTGTGCTTCCTCGGCGCCCGCGCACCCACCCGCAGCGTGGGGTCGCACTCACGGCCAAGTCACCGAGGTGACGGTGTGCATTTTCGTCACGTTGTTGATTTTGAAAGCAATTAGGGACAAATAACCCCTGCCGGTGTCTTGTCCTCCCTAGCCAGGCTGGCAGCCATAACACCCGCCCCACTCCCCTCACGGGACCCTTCCACCTCCTCCAGCCCAACGCTGGCCGACGGCGGGGCCGAGCTCGGCCCGCGGCCTCTCCTTCCAGCCGCCCCACAGCCCTGCCTTCCCCAGACGCGGCTTAAACCACCCGCCGAAGGGGCGACGCCCGCCCTCGCCATCACCGGGAGGCGCGGGGCTGCCGGCACCGCCGTGGGGTACGGCCTCGCCGTACGGCAGCGCGACAGCGGCGCGCTACGAGCGTGCCGTAAAGCGCGGCGAAGCTCCCCACGCTGGGTGGGCGGCGGGGCTGGCATGGGGAAGCGGCGGGGCGAGCGGGAGCTGCTGCGCAACCTAAGCAAGAAGCAAAAGAAGCACCTGAGGGAGTTCGGGGAGGAGCACCCTTTCTATGACAAGTGAGTCCCGGGCCGGGCCGGGCCGGCTGGCTGGCTTCCAGCGGCCACCTGCCCCAGCAGCCGCCGGGCGCAGCGTGCGGGAGGCCCCGGGCGGGAGCCCCATCCCCTCGGCCGTCTGGGGCTTCCCCGCGGGGCGGGCTAACCCGCGCTGGGTCCGGCAGAAAAGGACCTGGGGGTATTGGTCGACAGCCGGCTGAATATGAGCCAGCAGTGTGCCCAGGTGGCCAAGAAGGCCAACGGCATCCTGGCCTGTATCAGGAATAGCGTGGCCAGCAGGACTGGGAAAGTCATCGTCCCACTGTACTCGGCACTGGTGAGGCCTCACTTCGAACACTGTTCAGTTTTGGGCCCCTCACTACAAGAAAGACATTGAAGTGCTGGAGTGTGTCCTCGTGAGCTTGAAATTTCAAAAGAAGCAGAGAAAGCAGAAAATATGGGCTCGGATTGCTCGCAAGGAATGTCATAAAGTCTTCCTGAGCAGCCTGGTGGCTGCCATGAGGAGTGGAAAAGCGTAGGAGTATGAGGTGGGCTCCCGTTTTGGTGCTAGGTCAGTCCCTTGGCTTGTCAGGGCTCTCTAACTTTGCCACTGCTCGTTGGACTCAAGGGCTGCGAAAGTACAGCACTGACAATCTCAGAACCTTGGCTGCCCTGGCAGGATGCCCGTCTGTCAAAAACGGCACCATACTTTTGGACCCCCATGTAAACTTGTGAGGAATGAGCTCCTTAGTCCAAATGCTGGGTGGTTCGATGCTGCTGTAAAGTCTTAGAAACCTGCGAGGAAGATGCTGTCAGGTCACCTGTTCAGTTTAAGGCTGTGTGCCTTTAGTAGCAGGCAAACAGTGTTCAGGTCTGTCACTTGTGTGTACCCTGGGACCCTCCCGGTGTGTGTTGCTTGGGATGGAAGGCAGAGTCCTGCCCTGCAGGGAGCAGTGTCCTGCGCCTCGCCCTGTGCAGTGGCTCTCAGTCCCACTCAAGGCTCCCCATCTTTTTGAAAGAGTTGAGGTTAGTTTAAGCCCAGCTGGTACAGTGTCTTGTGTTCAGAATTAGAGGTTAATTTATGCTGTAATATGGGTCTTTTTCCCCACTTGACAGATCAATATTTAGTGCTAGAGGTAGGCTCTTGCTCTAGTTAACTTTGTTGTACAAACTACCCTTGTAGTTGGATTCCTCAGATCCCTTTTAAGGTTCCATCTTCTGATTGGGCCAAATTCTGCTTTAAAACATTTCACTTCTTGATCGGTTATAATGCTTAGGCACTTCGGACTTCACATACAGACTATAACATCAACTGAGAGGGTAACCTCTCAGGGTAAATGCTGAGTCTGGTTTTTTTTAGGGAGAATTGTGTGATGCTTTGGTTTTAAGCTTTCTTTTAACTTCTCTAAGACTTGTGTAACTCATTCCTTCTCCTCTTCATCTCTTTGACCTTGTGTATAACATCATTGACAGAGTAACATATTTCAATGCTTTCTTTTCAGGGTTTCTGGAAGACCAGAAGCAACTCAAGTCTGTGAACTGGTAATATATTTTTATTTCTTCCTTACTTTCATTTTTCTGTAGTTCAGTGAAGTGAAACACTTAGCATTTCACGTTACCAAGTTATTCAGGCTGATTAAGTTGTTCCCTTTAGAAAACCTGTGTTTAGGAGAAAAAAAAGAATGTGATTTTTGTGTGTCTCTGGCTTGTTCTGTACTCAAAACTGTAATACCATGAGAGGGCAGAAGCAGCAGGAAATAACATAGGTCTTCTTGGGGTTTTTTTGCATATTACTTAGTCACAGTGAAAAGTAAATCATGCTTTAACTTGTTTTAATAATGTTAATAAACGTAGTGCTACACAAGTTAGGAGATGTTTCGTTCTCTGTTGAACGAAGAAATGTGTTAGTGGTAATTCCTTTTCTTCAGGTTGCCATTGCTTTACTTTTCCTTCAGTCAGGATTTGGTAACCTTATTTTTCATCAGATTAATAAAGGAATTTAAAGTTTCAGTGTGGAAAAATTAATTATTTTTGTTCATTTCTTTCGCTTCATGATTTTTTGCATTAATATCCTATTTACTGATTTTTCTTCTTTGGGCTGAAAGGAGCTAAGAAAGAAGTAAATGGTGTTGTGTTTATACTCCTGGTTTGACTATAATTTTGGCTATAACCTGGCACACTGTCATTGGTTTGTGTGAGCCCAGGACAGAACTGGCTCTGAGTTTGGCTTCCTTGAAGCTTAGAGCTTTACAGCTGAGCAATACCTGATTGACTCCCTGGTGGACTATTGTCAAGTGCCAGCTATTTCACTTACCTTCTTGAAAGCCAGAAGCATTTTCAGTGTGCTCTGTCCCTTGTATTGTGTGCCCTTCTACAATTTTTGCTCTGTGTGTGGTTTTCATCGGAAAATCTAGTGCCAGTTCAGTGAACACCTTGTCTGTGGAGATCAAATGTCCTCACTCAGCTGAGACTGAAAGAACCAGATTTTGTGATGCTCCAAGTCAAATCAGCGCAGACCGAGACACTTCAGCCTAAGTCTACCAAGATGCTTTCAAAATCTAAATGGGATGTGTCCAGCATAACTATTTGCATACAGTGGTGATTTTTGAAAAATTCCCCTGCATCCACATAAGGGTAGGATGGGAGAGGGGAAACATAATATGGGAACTAGAGGTGAGGGTATTTGCCTGCTGCCTAATAGAGTGTTGCTGTTGTCGGTGTTACACTCATATTTTTCCCTTCCAGTCTGAGAATTCTGATAAATCGAGTGCAGAAAGTGATTCGGAGACTGAAGTGGAACAGGTCTCTGTATATCATAAGCTCCTGGCTACCTTGAAGACCTCTCCTGAATCTGAGAGTGAGGAAGAAGATGATGAAAGTGAATCAGAAGAAGATGGGGAAAGCGAGGCAGAAATGGACAGTGAAGGGTCCCAGGAAACCGGAGAGGCAGATGGAGGTGAAGAAGATAAGAATGATGTACCAGAGCAGAAAGAAGGTAGTCTGTCTTTTCCCATGCTGTGGTAAATGTTGATTCAGTTAGGAGGTTTGAATAACCAATGTTTTTAGCCAGGATCCTGGTGTAGACTGGCTTGTTGGCTGGGTGCTCTTCTGGCTTGGAGACTGTGTTGCTCCATTGCCTCTGTGTGGGTGGGAACAGCAGCTGCTGAAGGATTTAGCAGGGGAGAGGGTAGCTGTGCTCGTTTTCCGGCAGACAGCCCGCTGCTGCTTCTTCAGATGTTGTTTGTGCGGCAGCACAGAGGAAATCCACATGGAGCAGCATACCAGGGGTTCTCACCCACTCATGGGAGACGCAAGCTGTTCTGTCACACAGCATCTGGCTTGGCTGCTGCCACCGAGAGGAGGGAAAGTTTTGCCTCATAGCAGAAGAAAGAATATTTAAATTGGAAGGAAACCTCCTCCTTTATGACGAGGCATCCTCATTCATGAAGTCTGCAAAGAAATTCTGGGAGAGAGGAGTCAGCTTCTTCTTATTTTCAGTTATTGGGGGTCTTTGGAAACTAAAACTTATATTCCCCAAATAGGTTATTTCTTTAATTTTCTCTGGGGAAACGTGTTGTGTATTACATAACATTTGGCATGCTAGCCAAATGTCTTCTTTACTGTAACATACAAAACCTGCTTTTATCTTTTCGGATAGAATGTTGGGAGAAAAAAAAATAGGTAACTCAAAGGGAAAAACCTAGCTAGCAGGAGGTGTAGCTACAGACAGTGGCTTTTCCTGTAGAATATAACCCATTTCTCTCTCTAACAATTCACAGCTACAGACACAGCAGAGCAGACGCTTGGTCAGGAGCAGGCTGATGGCGCAGATACCTCTTGTGACCCAAGTCATGAAGTAATTGAGGAGTTTACTGATGTGAAACATGAATCTGAATTTAGCTTGGAAACCAATTTCATGGAAGAGGAGAGTGGAGATTGCAATGCAGATAAGAGAGACAGCAATTCTTCACAAGCCTTTTCAGAAGGTAAAACACAATATGTTTGTGTTTAGTGATCTGCCTCTAGAGGAGTATCTGTAAACATGTAAATTATCAAACACCCTTATGATATGCTATGTAGCTTCTGAGTTCTTCGCTACATTATTCATTGTATTGCCCACATGTGAGCTGGTTACATAAGGGACAAGTAACGCTAATGCAGATGTGTAGCTGGACCACTTGTTTTCTGTGGACTGGGATTTTGCACGTAGTTTCTGTTATGGCCGATAAAGGTTGAAATATCAGGAACGATGAACGTGTGTGGAGGGTGTTGTCTTGTTCTGTTGATTTAATAGTGGTTTAAAAAGCTAGTGCAATATGCAGGGCCCTGCAAGCCTGCACTTGACTGTGGAAGATATTCTTGGCACAGACAGCATAGGAGAGAATCACAAAGCTGACCTGTGAGGGCATCCTTCACAACTCAGTGGAGTTAGAGGTGAGCTTCTGGGAAGCTTGGGGCAGCCACAGTAATTTAGACAAATGCTTAGGGCTCTCTGAATTTTGAAGGTTATGCAGAGGAGTCCAACTGCACCAGGATCAGGAAGGCATGAGGCGTCAGTGGAGCATCTGTGTGCTATCTTTTAAGGGTGTAGCCCAGAATCTCAGCGCCGCAATGCGCTGATGGGTGTAATCTGAGCTCCAGTGTTGGAGACGTCCCACCATGTGTAATACAAATAACTGTGTGCACGGGTGTGTGATCTTTTGGTGATATGCCACACATTGGCACTTGCAGAGCTTCTATTCGTATTTCATGCTCTGTGGTTTTAATATCAGATGGCATAGTTTGAGAGAGAGAAATATGTTTGTAGCATCCCTAGTGATGCTGGCTTGTCATCTTGGAGCAGCAGCTGACATTAGATCTGGGAGGCAGCCTAGTTGATACATGAAATGTGTGGAAGCATCAAAGGGCCATGTGATAGAAAAAACAGCTCGTTCTTGTTACCATGAGAATATTACTTAGGCTGTTGGTGTTGCATTTTAATGAGAACCGTAGCTCTCCAACTGCATGCTAAGTATCGGAACAGCTTTGTTCAACCTATAAATGATGCACTACTTTTCAGTGGGTTCCTATAGCTTGGAAGTCGGTTTATAATCTATGACAGAAAATGAGTCACCTAAGATAGCAGAAAGGGAATGAATTTCTACTCTGGTCCTGGGGTCACTAGAATTCCTGAAAATACTTCCCATTATTCCCTCTGCTTTATCTGACAAATGCTGGAATCGGTAAAACTTAACTGAAGAGAGAACCTGTATTACAGTTAAATGGTATCTTGTTCATTTGTGTTGCTGGGAAGATATTCTTAACAGTGTCATAATTAGCAAATGCCTTGACTTTTCCCTGGATAGCTTGTTTGTGGGCTAGATATCCTTTGGCAAGCAGTAGTGTTGTCTAATTAGTTTTCTTTATGCAGTGAGTGCTGCTGTGCTGCAAGCAGTGTACAGAGCTTGGTTTTCAAAATAAGCTTTGCATGTGACTTGTGCATGCTAGTGTCTTTGAATATAATATGAGTTTACAGTTCCTTGCCTCTTTTTTCCTTTCCAAAAAGAAATGCTGATTAAATAAATCAGGCTTTTCCTCGCTTCAGGCAATCTTTGCCTTCCTTCCCCAAAACCCTCCTATCTTTCTCTGCTTTATCACAAACAGTATTCATATCACTGGCCGAAGATGCAAAGCCCTTGGCAGAACCGATTATAAATTAAGAAGGGCAGTAAGTTCACTTGGGTCTTTACTATTGAGAGCCTGTTTCACCTGTAAGGGATGGATCTGTCAGAGCTTAAGGCAGAAAATTGCCACAGTGTTTTCTACTACATATTGCTTTCCTGTCCAACATTTGTTTTGCGATTGAAAGTTCTAGTACTTCCATAAGAGCTTCTTTTTCTTTTTTTAAAAGCAATCTGTCAAATCTGTTCTCTCTGTTCTTGTAGAGAGAATTTGACATCCTTTCTCTCATCTCCAAGTGCTTTGAAATAACTAGTTTTAACTGTGGTGTTGGCCAGCATGGAAACTGTTCGTCTCATTTGCAAATCCATTCTGAAACTTCATTCCAGTATTAGCTACAATGGTTCTCAAGATATTTTTTTTTGTTGTTGTTATAAATAGATCCATTTAAACAGCACATGGACAAAGAATTTGAAGAAAAAGAAATAGAAAAAATGTCTACACTTCCTAAAACTTCAAGTCAAAGCAAGGTAACAGTGTTCTTTAGCCATCCAGAGTTCCTAAAGATGCCTGGATTAAAATATCTTTTTTTTTTTTAATACAAGTGAAGTACATTCATAATTGTTATTATTAGCTGTTGGCACTGAAATTGTCAAGATTTTGTCACTGTTGTTGCTGAAGTGTTTTCTTCTTCACTTAGTGCTGAGCAGGAGTTGAAATCTAAAGTCTGTTGTTACAGAGGCATGTAGCGACATATCTGAAAAACACAGTTTTAGAGTTTGATCTGTAGTCCCAAAACCATAGGTTTAGTACTCTTGGCACCAGGTAGAAACAGGACTGTTTTCTGAGTGGTAAGAGCACAATGCCAGGGACGTGCTCTGCAACTGAACTTGTGAGATGACCATGTACAGTCTTAAAAGTACTTGTGATGCACTTTGCTTTCATGTTCCTGCTTCGAGATGGCTGTATCTCTGTACACATTTATAAGCTGGTAAAGGGGAATTTAGTACTTATATTGTTAATTCTGGAAATAATAGGTGAATTACAGTACCAGAAAGCCACCTCATTGCTTGAGAGAGAATATTGTTTTTTAAAATACTCATTTTTAGACCAACCTTTGCTTCCTAACTTTTTTTGCATCTGATTTTGTTTTGGAGGGTTGCCTTACATTCTGGTCAGCCATATGCTGGGTGACATACGTTGGAAGATATCCAATGGTTAGTCAGTCAGAGAGAAAGCTGTGATTTTTTTTAAATTTTATTTTATTTTTTTCTTTTTTGGAATATGGTCGCCAAAAATACCAGTGCCACCTCAAGCGATGCATGATATATCTTTGCTTAACTTGGTGTAGCTACTTTATGGAGATAGATAGGGACAACTTGCACGGCAGAAGGTTTAGAGTTTTCCCTTACTACAGTGATAGCTTTTGCCCTCAAAATCAGACGGACTCCAACAAGATTGTATTTAGCAACTGATTCACAACTTCTGGGTTTAGTCCCTAATGGGGTTTTGTTTTCATCTTTAAACAAAGCACGTACCTCAGTGCAGCTGATCTATAAGTATAGTCGGACTCCAGGGTTCTCATCTTGTCCCTGGTTTGTGCCACTGATTTGCCAGATGGGTTAGGCAGAAACGACATCCTTCCTCGGTTTTCTCATCTGTAAAATGAAGGCAGTTAGACACAACACTGCAAAATACATCCAGATCTACTGAGCTCAGGTTTATTGTTATTTACCCTGGTAGACTCTAAGGAGGAGATTGCACATTGAAAAATAGGTTTGAACTTGTATTATGAAAAGAGTTTTCTCAAGTTTCATGAACTTGATTAAACTGCTAGCTGTGGTGATGTGCTTTTAAGTGTCCCAAGTTTGGTACATATGACTCCTCTTTGGTTTGTTTTTTTCAGTGGCCAAGGCTGGGCCAACTAACTTTTTCTTCTGCTTTGGAGAAACATAAAACTTTGAAAGCAGACAAAGAAGTGGATGTGAAACAGCTTTATCTTCACAAGCCTTTAGAATCCACTTGGCCAAAAGTGAATAAACAGTTCCTGTCTTCAGTGAACAAACCAAGCGATCCCACTTTTACCCCATTACAAAGAGAGCTCTTCTGTATCATGAATACATACCGGGACTTGTTCTATCCAGAAAGAAATGCTTTAACAAATGGCGAAGAAATCCGGCATGCTTACTGCTTGCATGCCTTGAACCACATTCTGAAGGCAAATGCCCAGGTGCTCAGCAACAATGCCAAACGAAGAGACCAAAAGCCAGGGACTGACAATGATGACTACAGGGATCAGGGGCTCACTAGACCTAAGGTAAGGGAGTTTCATTAATTTGATTCCCCCATCCCCGCCCTGGTTGTCTTGTCAGGCTATATGAACATCCTGGGATTATATCCAAAAGTATTTCTGTGGCTGCTCTCTCAAGAGACATGTTCCTGGGCCTGTGCCTTTCCACATCACTTTATCGTGCCTGGAAGTCATTTGCTGTGGCCAGGGCAAATACCCTGTGAGAAGATGTGAACATAGGGTTGTTAGCCTGCCTGTTTCTGTGTTGAGCCATGAGTTTCACTTCTCTTTTTTTATCTTTGTCCTCCTATCGCTACAGACTGACATGTTGCCTTTTCCTGCTTCATTTCTAAATCTACCAGTACAGAAAGGTGCCTCCACATCAATCTTCAGTGTTAGTGCAGCTAGTGTGGGCTGTCACCCAGTGTGGGATGTCTCAGATTTTTTTTTTTTCCCCTAAGGCACTTGTAAGGACTTACCTGCATGGAATGATCTTTCTGTAACTGGGAGACGTCTGGGACTCCCAGTCCCATTGTCAAGGCCACCCGTAGTTGGTGGTGCGGGCCTCAAACCAAGGCTCCCTGGATTCACAGCATCCTCTAGTTGATAACCAGGTGAATTTAACTAGGGCTAGCCTGTCACTGGTGGTGCCAACTACCTGTTGAACAATTTCAAAGTTGGGTTTCAGTGTTTGCTGTGCACCTTTGGTTTCTGCGTTGACTCCCCAATTAGATATTATATTTCAGAGTGCTGTACAGAGACTATTGCCACCCATGTTTTGTTCAACATATTCATCAATGATCTGGATGAAGGGATAGAGTGTACCATCAGCAAGTTTGCTGATGACACAAAACTGGGAGGAGTGGCTGACACGCCAGAAGGCTGTGCTGCCTTACAGCGTGACCTCGCCAGGCTGGAGAGTTGGGCAGAAAGAAACCTGATGAAGTTCAACAAGGGTAAGTGTAGGGTACTGCACCTGGGGAGGAATAACCCCATGCACCAGTACAGGTTGGGGGCTGACCTCCTGGAGAGCAGCTCTGTGGAGAGGGACCTGGGAGTCCTGGTGGACAACAGGATGACCATGAGCCAGCAATGTGCCCTGGCGGCCAAGAAGGCGAATGGCATCCTGGGGTGCATCAAGAAGAGTGTGGCCAGCAGGTCGAGGGAGGTCATCCTCCCCCTCTACTCTGCCCTGGTGAGACCGCATCTGGAGTACTGTGTCCAGTTCTGGGCTCCCCAGTTCAAGAAAGACAGGGAACTGCTGGAGAGGGTCCAGCAAAGGGCAACAAAGATGATTAGGGGACTGGAGCACCTTTCTTATGAGGAAAGGCTGAGGGACTTGGGTCTCTTTAGTCTAGAGAAAAGAAGATTGAGGGGGGATCTTATTAATACATACAAATACTTAATGGGAGGATGCCAGGGGGATGGGAGCAGTCTTTTTTCAGTGGCGCCCAGTGATAGGACGAGGGGTAATGGGCATAAACTTGAACATAGGAAGTTCCATCTTAACATGAGAAGGAACTTCTTTACTTTGAGGGTAGTGGAGCACTGGAACAGTTGGACTAGATGATCTCCAAAGGTCCCTTCCAACCCTAACCATTCTGTGAATTCTGTGAATTCTGTGAATCCCAGAGCCAGCCATTGACCCTGTCTATGCACTGTGGGAGCTCTTGCTTGTTTGAGTAGGGAGAACAGGAGAACAGGCTTTGTTTTCAGTTCCCCTGTAATGGTACCATGGGTCTGAGATGGGGAACCAACCTGAGCTACTGGCCTGTACCTGTTCATGAGCACACTGCATCCCAGCACATCCTCCCTCCTTGCTGCATGTCAGAATTGTTTTGTTTGTTGGGATGCCCCAGGGGGGCAGATCTAACTAATAAAAATTATGTAAAATACAGTTAACTGTGAGTGTTCATATTATATGGGTTATTCTGTTGTAACTGTTGATCTACGCAGGTGCTGATGATAGTGCCCTTCAGGGAGTGCGCTTTGCGAATTGTGCATATTTTCATCAGTCTTCTTGAAGTGAACGACAAAAAAAAAATAGATGTAAGTAATAAAAAGCGCTTCAAAGGGGAGTTTGGCTCTGACCCAGAAGAGAAACCCCCCAACCTGAAAAGACCTGAAGATTATGAAGCCGTCTTTGCTGGCAACATTGATGACCACTTCAGAATTGGTAATGACCTACTGAACAGATGATTTTTAGGTTGTAAAGAACTGAGAAGTAACAAGTTCTTCCTAAATGTGTAGGAGCTATCAGGGCTGGAAGTTCTGGTGAGACTGGGCTCTGGAGCATTCATGCTGTTTTTTTACTAGCAACTTGGATTTTTCTGGAAAACTTTCTTGCCTTGTCAGAGCTTAAAAAGGAAGAGAAGATACAAAAGTAATGATTTTCACATCAAGTTCAGAATCACTTAAAATGCAATGATTGCTTTATTGTAGCAGGACTGCCCACACCTCATTTTGAAGAGGGAAAGCCTTGATTATGCAGCAAAGTCTTTCATGTTATTAAAAAAAGCAAACCCAACTTTTGTGTTTAATCAGCCTATTCACAATGTCTCTCATAATCAGTAATGGTTGGAACAAAATCAAAGCTCGGTACTGAGCAAAGCAGTTTTCTACTGTTGCCCATGGTTTTCATGAAAGCAAAGGGGTGGCCAGCAAGTAGGGCTGTTGGACAAGCAGCAAATTTATAATATTGTAATATGACTATTTCATAATATTGTAATCTCATGCTGGTTTAGTAACTCAGTATGCAGAGAATCAGCTGGTGGCTTGGTTCCTGGAGCTGCCATGATGAGTAGGCTGTTTTTCTAACTTAACTTTACAGATCAGAGGCTTTTGAAATTATTGCCCCTTGAAAGACAAATTGGCATCCCAAGAGATGTAATGATACAGTGGAAGATGCAAGCATGTCCCACTCAGTCTTTCTTCCTTCCCCAGTGAATATCTCTCTGGCTGAGAGCCTCTTACTTTCAGTAGCATAATAATTTTCCTTTCAGTCCTCCTCAGTCTGCTTGATCCACTTACTAGGTGTGAAGAAATGCTTAAAGAAACTTTCAGTGCTGTTACTTGCAGAAGCAAATCATAGAAGCAGAATAATTATTCTTTCTTACTGTGCCTCACACCCTGTTACTTCTGCACAAAGATCTAATTTAAAGCACATTTGTTATGCCTTACTAAAACCACCCTTTCGCATTTTTAAACAGAAAAAAAGACTTGATGTTGTTAAACTGTGTATATGCTGTGACAAGTGATATCTGCTTCCTGGAAATTCAATCAATTATGCCTGTCTTTTTCTTTCCATTTTTATCATTGGGTTAAAATAGATAGCAGGAGGGGTCCCTATAGGTATCTGTGTGGAATTCTTGCAAGTGCCTTCAGCTGTGCCCATGATAGCTGGATTCACACAGGGAGGGAGAGAAGCTGAAGAGACACCTTTGTTGGGCAGACTATAGTGGGTGGTTTGAATATGGCCTGGACTACCTTGATTTTTAAGATCAGAAAACTGTGGGTCCTAGCAATATTGCCATGTAGTTACAGCATAGGTAACAAACGCCTTGGATTCCTTCCTTTTTCATTCTTTAACGTGAGAGGTGATGCATAAGCTAGTTTGGCATGTACACCGGGACATGCAGTGTGAGAAGCAATGCCAGGGGAGGTGCAAGGCTGGTTTGCTTTTAGTCATCGTCACACGAAGAACCTTTTCCTTTGTGTTCTAGTAGCAATTCTCATGGCCGTGTGAATAAAGGCAGTTTATAGTCAAGAGGTCCACACTGAATCTTTCATGACGGGTTAAGGTAACAGTTCCTATAGTACCAAATGGCAGAGGCCAAAGTTTAGGATTTAGGGAGAAGGGAATAGTTAATCATTTCTGCCTTTTTTTTTTTTTTTTCCCCTTAAGTTCTTCAGCCCTTTCATCCCCCTTTTTAGCAGAAAATCACAAAAATGTGTTTCAGTTAAAAAATGTCTAAGCTATGAAAAATCTGGAAAAAAGTACCACTGAAGGAGTTTGGTGAACTTCATGAAAATCTGCCAAATCCTTGTCAAATGGGGATGGGTAAGCACTTTTCAGGGAAAGAAGAGTTTCAGACAGATTGGTTTTGTCCAGCTATAATCGTTAGTATGCATTAAGGGAGAGGAAATATAGGGAGTTACTATTACAGAGCTTGTTGGAAGAATATGGCTGATAATTGACCTTAACTAAGAAAATGCTGTTGGTTGTTGTTGGACAGGGGTTGCGATTCTTCAGAAGAGTATGAGACTATATGCACCATTTTATTCGTCGGATATCATCATTGCCTCTCCCCTGGGTATGAGGACTATTATTGGCGCGGAGGGGGAGAAGAAGAGAGATTTTGATTTTCTGTCATCAATAGAAGTTCTCATAATTGATCAAGCAGATATTTACCTGATGCAGAATTGGGAACATGTTCTGGTGCGTTTTCTGTATGTATTCATTTTTGAGTTGTACTGTGTCTCGTTAGTCTGATAAACTTAGTTTTGGCAGTGAACGGTATTGCTATTTTTTTACTTACTCGATTCCAGACATGTATGCTTGTTCCTTTTCCTCCTTCCATCCTGGTATTTTCTTTATACTAAGAATAATCTTTCTACAGATTTTGGGTAGTATTCAGCACCTGTTCTCTATAAATCTTAGTATTTGGTGCTTTAGTGGCATATTTCATCAGAGATTTTTTTGACAGTTTTAATTATCTTACAGGATGAGATAATGATGATTCCTTTAATCACATCTGGGAGAAAATATGCCAGCTGTCTGACTGCCCAGTGTCTCAGATTGCAGCCGTATGAGGAATCCATACAGCCTAATTCAGGTTCCTCCAGAAAGCAATAGGAGCTGGTGCTTGTTTCCAGTGACTGTAGAGATACTGAGCATTAGTCATGTCCAAAGTTAAACAGTATGAAGATTTTCCTGTACATGTAGTGAAAATACTGTTCTGGGGTTGTGGCTACTATGCAGTAGTACCCATGCTTTTTGGCTTTTGGTTAATAAAAATTTTCAAGGTTGAAAAGTTGAGGGTTTTTTTCCACATAGAAACATCTTTGAGGTACCTGGGCTGTGTGTGTTGACAGCATGATGTTATTGTACATTTTGAATGAGCCCAGAAGGTGTCTTGTGTCCTGGGCAGTCCCAGGAAAGGCACATCAGCCTACACGATATCCAAGGAATTGGTCCTGGAGCCTGTTTCCTGTTTTTTCCTTTGGGTGCGACTGCCTGCCATGTAGCAGCAGCGATGCCCGTCCTAGGCATCATTCAGTAAGGCCAGAATAAGGTGAATTTCTTCACTGACACCCAAACTCCCTGAATGGATGGAAACTGTACTTGAGCTTCTTTCAGCTCAGAAACCTTGGGCCCATTGACTTTAATACGAACAAATCCATTATACTTGCCCCATGGGAGAAGATTGGAAGCAGAGGGTACTGATATTAAACAGATGGTAACTTTCAGTTCTGTGGCAGGAAATCAAGGAGATCAGTCTTGATGTGGTCAGTAAATTCCAGACAGTCATGTCGTAGGAGATCGCTACTGTTTTATATTCTGTGCTGTCTTGCTCGTCCCTGTTCCCTTTCTTACTGCAGTTAAGGCTTTTGCAGTCTGGGTGCAGGAATACCAGTCTGTAGCGATGTGTTTCCATCTCTCTGTGTAGCATCTGATGAAGCACATTAACCTGCTGCCTCTGGATCCCCACGGGGTGGACTTTTCCCGAGTGCGAATGCTGAATCTCAACAACTGGTCCAAGTACTACCGCCAGACGCTGCTGTTCAGCGCTCTTCAGGATCCCCAGATTAACTCCATCTTCAACAAACACTGCTTCAATTACATGGGGCGGGTGAGTTCACAGATGAGCTGAAAGCCTTCTTTTAAATGCTGGCGTAAGGGAGGGGGAGAGGAGCAGAAAACCCAACACATGGAAAAATTCCATAACTCAGTTGTAGAAAGACTGTGCCAGTGGTTTCCAGTACCCAATTATTTCAGTCTGAATGTCCATGATGCTGCATGACAATTTCTAATGCTGTGCCAAAGCCACGAAGAACTACTCTTCTTGCAGCAGTATTAATTTGTTCCTTTTCTTTCATGGGTAGCTGTCTCATGTCAGAAATCAGATTTTGATTTTTCTTAATTTGACACACATAAGTTGTCATCTTTTATTTATTTTGTTGTTAAATGGTTTGCCTGCTTCCTTTTTTTTTCCCCTCCTACTGTATAAGAAGCACAAACTGCTATTACTTTGAAAACAGGAAAAGTTTAAACCTTAGTTGTCCCTCTCAAATATATGGAAGTCAGAGCATAAGCAGTGGTCATGTATATTTAACAGATCTGGTGTGCGTATGTGGTTTTGTATTGGAGCTTTCTTAAAAACAGCCTTGTGTGTTGCTTGCAGATGTGAGTTGCAAGCAGAAAGCTGGCTGGAGGGTGGCTGCCTTTGAAATGCCGCTTCCCTCAATGTCCTACTTTCTTCTCGCAGGTGGCTGTCCGTAACGTACCGCTCAATGGCTCCATTAGCCACGTTGTGGTCCAGCTTCCTCATGTTTTTCGGAGGCTAGAAGTTGAAAACTTAACTTCTGTAATAGAGACAAGGTACTCTGTGTTCCAGACTACTTTGCTATGCCTAATGACTGAAATGTCAGATTTAGTTGAGCATGCTGTTTCCTGCAGAACACAATGTGATTTCACCACAGAAGTATGCCTTCATTAGTCTTCAGATGCAGGCTAGGCTCTCTGCAGGTAGAAGGGAATACCAAACTTCTCCTTCCCAAAGACACTGGAGAATAAAGTCTGGGAAAGGAATACCAGTCTCTGCCATAACTGTGTGGCACTGATAAACCTTTTGCCTTTTATCTTCTGCATGTGTAGAAATCCTATGATGTTAAAGAAGGCAAAAGGTAGTCAAAATCTTCTGTAATCTGTTGTCTGATGATATTCCTATTTGAGGTCATATCAGTATTGGAAAGCTAAGTGTTAACTCTGGTTAAAACATATTTGCTTTCTGAACTCAGGTTTCAATTTTTCATCAACAAAGTTTTGCCTGAGTACCGCGATGCCATCATGTCACACACGCTCATTTATGTTCCATCATATTTTGACTACGTTCGTCTTCGAAATTACTTCAAGAAAGAGGATCTGAATTTTACTCACATCTGTGAACAGGAAAAGTTTAAACCTTAGTTGTCCCTCTCAAATATATGGAAGTCAGAGCATAAGCAGTGGTCATGTATATTTAACAGATCTGGTGTGCGTATGTGGTTTTGTATTGGAGCTTTCTTAAAAACAGCCTTGTGTGTTGCTTGCAGATGTGAGTTGCAAGCAGAAAGCTGGCTGGAGGGTGGCTGCCTTTGAAATGCCGCTTCCCTCAATGTCCTACTTTCTTCTCGCAGGTGGCTGTCCGTAACGTACCGCTCAATGGCTCCATTAGCCACGTTGTGGTCCAGCTTCCTCATGTTTTTCGGAGGCTAGAAGCTGAAAACTTAACTTCTGTAATAGAGACAAGGTACTCTGTGTTCCAGACTATTTTGCTATGCCTAATGACTGAAATGTCAGATTTAGTTGAGCATGCTGTTTCCTGCAGAACACAATGTGATTTCACCACAGAAGTATGCCTTCATTAGTCTTCAGATGCAGGCTAGGCTCTGTGCAGGTAGAAGGGAATACCAAACTTCTCCTTCCCAAAGACACTGGAGAATAAAGTCTGGGAAAGGAATACCAGTCTCTCTGTGTGGCGCTGATAAACCTTTGCCTTTTATCTTCTGCATGTGTAGAAATCCTATGATGTTAAAGAAGGCAAAAGGTAGTCAAAATCTTCTGTAATCTGTTGTCTGATGATATTCCTATTTGAGGTCATATCAGTATTGGAAAGCTAAGTGTTAACTCTGGTTAAAACATATTTGCTTTCTGAACTCAGGTTTCAATTTTTCATCAACAAAGTTTTGCCTGAGTACCGCGATGCCATCATGTCACACACGCTCATTTATGTTCCATCATATTTTGACTACGTTCGTCTTCGAAATTACTTCAAGAAAGAGGATCTGAATTTTACTCACATCTGTGAGTACACTAAAAAGGCTGGCGTCTGCAGAGCAAGGCGGTTCTTTCTCAAGGGAGAGAAGCAGTTTCTGTTGTTCACTGAGCGCTTCCACTTTTACAAAAGGTGAATTGTGGACTGAGTTTTCCTCTGAGTTGCATGTGTGCTGTTTTGGAAGTAGAGTCTGACCTTAATCAAAGATGGGCTATATTGCTTTTTGAATCTGTTGGATCTCTCTGAGGACTTCTTTGACTGAAGTAAGAGCTTTTCAGTTTACTTGAAAATTTTTGCATGTTGTCGGCAGTCCCTTGCAGAGGCTCTAATACTTTGGTATGCGCAGGGCTTTATTCAGGAAGGTGAGTGCTGCCAAGTTCCACTGACATCAGGACAGGATGATATAGCCTGCAGAATGGGTTTCATTGTGCCTTTTATTTGCATTCGTCTGTGCCACAATAATTACATAAAATTCTGGAAAAGGATATGTAATTGGTTCAATAATGTGATACGGCAAGCTGAGGCCACCTGGAAAATTTGCTATGTCCTGACTGGAGCTGTTTAGAAGTTCCTAATGGAACAGTTTTTCTTATTAGCAGAAGATGTTTTGGCAGTATGAAAAGTTGCATGAGGGTCATGTCTGATCAGGCTTCACTGTCTTAAAATCTAAGCCAAAGAGGCTGAATATTGCAGAAATTGGTGGTGGTCTGTACTTTAGAGGAAGTCACAGTGCCTGGCAGTGTTAGACACCCCCCACCCCTCAACTCCATACCTGTGTTTAGTCTTCAGTCCATCACACAGGGTTTGTAGAGTTGAGCTACAATTGACATGCATTGAAGATGATGGAAGTTGGAAAAACTGAGATAGGATTGATGTTTTAACACGCACATTTTTGTAAAAATTGGCAACAAAGTTACTTTTTTTTTTGTTTTTTTTCCCTACTACAGGTATATGATAAAAGGCATTAGGAACCTCATTTTCTATGAGTTACCAACCTACTCCCACTTCTACAGTGAGATTTGTAATATGATGAAGGCCACAGACAATGGAGTGGATGCTACTTGGACCTGTACAGTGCTCTACTCCAAGTATGATGCTCAGAAATTGGCTGCAGTGGTTGGCATAGATCGCGCAGCTCAAATGCTACAGTCCAAGAAAGATGTGCACCTCTTTGTTACAGGAGAAAATGAATAAGTGATATTGCAGACTAAACGATTGGATGGACCTGGATTTTACTCCTCATGCACTTTTTGATGTTGCTTTTTAAAAAAGTATTAAACTTTTTACTCCCTTTTACTATTCTGTTGAAATTGTTCATATATTATTAATTTTTATATTTCAGTACTCTGTCTGACAAGAAACGGAGAATGTCCTTCAAGAAAGCAGGGCTTGGGTGTTTCTTCTTAGAGAAACAAAATCAATCCAGAACTGTTACTTGTATATTGAAAAACTCACTGGTCTGTAAAGACTGATGCTGTGATAAATAACTTTTTATTGGATTGCTTCACTACATTTTCAGGTGTAGCAAACTCACCTTTTATCAAAGGCAACTTCTTCCTTTAATCCAGGGGAAGAAAATGTGCCCAAGTATTAAAGTGATCACTGTTCTGTAAGCCTGTGTAAGGGAGGTGCAGGCGAAGGCTCTTCAATACAAGGATATTGCTGAATGAAAGTTGAACTTGCTTCAACTTGAGTGTTGTGAGAATGAGAATCAATGAGCGTGCTTGGGTAGGAGCTCTGGGTTTGGGTTTTTTTGCCCCTGAGTGACATAAATATCTCTGCCTCTTATTTACAGCAGCCCTTCTGGCTGGTTGCTTTTACCAGGGATAAGGTTTTTTCCAAAGGAAGACAGAGTTGAACTTGGTGGGCAGCAGAGCCCAGGCCTGCCTACCCCCCATGATCACCGTAGCAGCATTGCGGAGCACAAAAACAAGTACAGTTGCAAATACCTGTGGTCTCATATCTCGCCCCTTGGGTGGGGTTTTGTTTGGTTGCTTTTTTTTCCTTTCCTCTTAATAGCTGCTTACGCACAGCATGGAATTGTCGTGGTCCTGCCTCTTCTTCCTTTTCTTCTCCTTTCGGGAAGCTAAGCATAATTTAATAGGAACTAAAAGTAGAAAAGTTAGTTTTTGCAAGCATGTGCTAGGGGTGGAGGAAGGCTGTTCTATGGGGGGGGCAGGTGAGTCCTGCGTGAGCCCAAATGCAGGAGGGAAACATCCATCCTGTTGATAAGCTTTGAGGGAATTCTTGTCTGGGAGGCTTAAGTAAATACACTGAAGTGAAATAAACTTGAGTGAATGCACAGGCACATAATTTTAGTCCCCTTTTTTATCATATTATTCATTCCTGTATTTCTTGGGTAGCACTTAAAGTCCCAAAATCATTTTAGTAGACACAAATCCATGCAGTTTCTTGCTTTGCATTTTAAGTAATGATTTCTGTTAATTTTATGTGCCTCTGCCATAGCACGCAAGAATTCAGAGCCAGCCACAGCAAAGTTCTTCCTGGGAACATCTGTCCCCTGTACAGCAGAGGCAACAGTAGCGGCCAACAAGGATTTTTCTTGTGCGGCCGGGGCTCGATGTGGGAGAATTGTGGCTGTGCGTATGAAAACAAGCACACAAAATAGGATTAAGGAATTTTCCTTCTACACCGGGTGTACTTAGCAGAGATGAATAGCTGACCTCTGAGGAAGCTAAAGTGGGATAGCTACTTAGGGAGATAATATGGTGCAGTGCAGCTACTGTTTAAAGAAGCAGCAAGAGTTTTGTGCCAGAGCCTTAACTATGCAAGGATTTTTCTGCCCCATCACTGAAATTAATAGTAAAGTGCCTTGATGGGGGTAGGGCCAAATTGTAGTCTGAGACCCTCACGCTTTTTATATCAACAGCCTGCGTTTGTTCCGAAGACAAGCATACTTTGAAATTTGAAATGTATGTGCCAGTGTTACATTTTTAATATTGATTACTAATTATAACTTGCTGATTCCCCAAGCAACGTGTAAATGCCTCTTTGCTGCCTCCAGTTAGTGCGCTGAGATGCAGGCGCAAAGTTGATGCGTGATTGCCCTTAGAGAGCTCATGCATGAGATTTTTCTGCCCTGGCAAAATCTTACTTGCTGTAGTCAGGAGCCTCATAAGCCAGCGCTAGAAATCCTACCCAGGGTGTCGCTAGCGGATTGGACAGGTTTGGTGATACAGGGAGCCCGTCTCTCGCTGTACTGATATAAAGGAGTTTTTGTTCCCAGGTGCTTCCTCCTACCTCTGTGGTGGGATGTCCCACGTCTCGGGTGTTTCCCCACTTGATAGTGGAATTGCAGTGAAATGGTGAGAGGAAGTGGTCATTTAAATCTTCTCCTTTGCCCCCTTTTTATCTTATTTTCAACAATGCCCTGGTGCAGTTCAGAGCCCTACAAAGTGGTTTGTCCAAGAGTGGCTCCAAAGACAGTGAGTCTGGGAGATGGTGAGTGCTGAGGTCAGAGTTTGGCCCATCCTGGATGCACATTCACAGATGCCACTGCTTCACATGCTGAGGCAACTGCTGGCTCCAAATGAGTTACTTAAAGGCCTGTCCTATAATCCATTTTTCTGACAATAATGTGGCTTTCAGTGAGGTGGCTCAATCTAATGCATTCTTGTGGATACTCCTAGTCAATTTTAGAAATGGAATATGTACACCTGGGGTTTGTTGTTTTGTTTTGTTTTTAAATTGTTCAACACTGAATTCTAACACAAATGGAATAAGAAAAGACATTAGCAAATACAATATTTTACCTTTTTTTTTTACTTGACAGCATGCAATCATGGCATGGCAATGATGATGATGCACCAATGATGAGTAGCTACTCGTCTTAAGGAAACAAATTTGAAACAAAACCCTGTTCATTTTGATGTCAGTACCATACCTTTAAGGGGGTGATGATGTTTCTTAAAACTCCTTTTTTGTCGATGTTTCAAGAGGGTCTCTGAGTACTGAAAAGTAATCCTGTATTCTTTTTCTTTGTGAAAGGCATTGTAACGCGGTGAGAGAGCTGTCTGCCTGGCATCAGGCAGGTGGCTTTCCAGCCACCGGCTGCTAACGTGCCGTAGTGGTGAAGTATTAGCCAGCTAGCTTTTGCGAATTCAAACCCAAGGGTAAAAATAAACTGGGATTAAGATGTTAAACAAGAATTCCTTTTCAGCATCTCCCATCTCTCAGGAAATCCTAGTAATTGATGACCGAGAGAAAGACGTACCTGCCTCTGTAGGAAGATTGTTCTTCTAGCTAATGAGCTGATGTTGTAATGGCTCTTTTTTTCCCTACTAAAACCTAATCAGGATAATAGATTTGTTACATTTTGTTGCTCCTTTCAAAGATGATTAAAAGGCAATGTATTTTTTTTTTTTTCCTGAAAATGTGTTTGTAGGATAGGAGCCAGCCTTCTGCTGGTGACTGTATTAATGTGGAGGAGGGAGGGGAAGGTGACTTAGGGACAGTCTGTCTCCAGCGCTGGAGAGCTGCCGCCCGTAAGGAGGCAGGTTGTTAGTCTTGCAGCAGTCCTTGGGAGACACGGGATGAATCACGTGAGAGAGAAACTGGAGCATTCTTGTTAACAACAGCAGAATTAACAATTACTTTACAGTTGTGTTGTCACACACTGCCAGGATTTCTCAGCTCTGCATTAGTCATGCTCTCGTGGCCTCAGCCCCAGGAGCTCCTCTCTAGGGTTTGGGGTTTTTTTGGACTCGGTAGCCAAGCATGTCTGATGAAACAGTTTGCTTTGCAGGGGTTGTTCAGAAAGCCCGTCTGCAAAAGCGTATGTGGATGTATGAGAGGGCTGTGCAAAGATGGAGAGGGGTGAGAGCAAGTGGAGGATGGCAGTCCCTCCTGTCACAGAGCCTGCTGGGCTGCCTGGGGACTGACCCGCACGGTGGAGGGCTCCTCTCTCCACCATATTGGCCTGTTCAGAGACCTCCTGGAGGTCCTGCACCAGGAAGGAAGCAGGTGCCCTGGGGAAGGTCACTGGGGTGAGGCTTCATCTTTTCCCTTCCCCAGAGGTGCCAGGTGACCCTTAAGCCCACAGAGAAGGTGAAGGCGCTGCGGGTACACGGGCAGGCACCAGCGCTAGCTAAGATGGGCCGTGCAACAGCCCAGGCCTGGGAGGGCATGAAGACAAAAGAACTGCAAAACACTGCACGGGGTTTATGATAACAGGACCTGTTGGAGCAGGTCCAGAAGAGGACCACAAAGACGATCCGAGGGCTGGAGCACCTCTCCTATGAGGAGAGGCTGAGGGAGTTGGGGCTGTTCAGCCTGGAGTAGAGAAGGCTCCGGGGAGATCTTATTGCGACCTTCCAGTACCTAAAGGGGCCTACCGGAGAGCTGGGGAGGGACTTTTACAAGGGCATGCAGTGGTAGGACGAGGGGGAATGGCTTCAAACTGGAAGAGGGCAGGTTTAGATTAGATATTAGGAAGAAATTTTTCACTGTGAGGGTGGTGAGGCACTGGAACAGGTTCCCAGGGAAGTTGTGGAAGCTCCATCCCTGGAGGCGTTCAAGGCCAGGCTGGACGTGGCCTTGGGCAACCTGGTCTAGTGGGAGGGGTCCCTGCCCATGGCAGAGGGGTTGGAACTCGATGATCTTCAAGGTCCTTTCTAACCTAAACCTTTCTCTGATTCTATGATGTATGTGTATTACTGTAGCCAGCTCCCATCCTGGTCAACAGGATGCTTTTGTCCACACTAGATCCAAGACATAGTTCAGTTGCTGTGGCTTTAAATCTCATCCTCTGTGCTGAGATTGACAGGAAAGGGTAATTAATAGCACAGGGCTGATTACGTTTTAATTAACCATTAGTTTCAACTGCTTGGGGGTTGCTTGTTTTACCAGGTGGGCTGTGAGTTGGGCTGAGACCATCAACTCTCGGATAGATAAAAGAGCTCATGGAGTAAAATTGACGTTAACTAGGAAAATGAAATGTGAAATGTAAAATGTAATTGAAGCAACCAAGGAAACCTGCTGCTGCTCAAGTCCTCTGTACTGCCCTAACTCTATTTAATTATTTAACTAATATTAAAAGAGATAAATAGTAACTAGGCATGATTTATCTACAATTCAATTAAGGAACTAACCACGAGACAATGTAGCATTGTTGCTAAGCAGGGTATTCCTGTCAAGAGAGTGATGAACTACAGGCCCGGTCAGCAAACCGAGAAAACCACTTGGAACTGCCAAGGTCAGAGGAGAAGTAGGTAAAAGGTAATTTCGGCAGGGGGGGATCATGACCACTGACTCACTGACCACCTACCCAAATGATACCACCTCCTCAAAAGAGAACAATGGAAGAAGAAGAAGACAGAGTCTGCGCGCTAATTTACATAGGAAGCAAAGAAATCTCAACTGATCATTAAAGAGAATAACAATGAATATGTATTAATTGTTTGAATATGTAATAACCAATATATAAAAGTGGAGATTTTTGAAACTAAGGTGTGT